TGTCTGCATTAGAGAGGAACGTGAGCAACATCATGATGTTCGTTAAAAACAAAAAACGTATTGATCACAAAAAGTGTGTTTTCAGCTCTGAACCAGTTCGGTAAAATGATCCATGTAGGCTTTTCTCAGAGAGAAAGAGTTAAAACATCTGTGGACAGTATTTACAATGGTCAGTATTAAGCAAGCATTATCCGTAGTCTCAACAGTCTGTAGGAGGTAATTCAGATGCAGCTTTTATGTCTTTTTCCAGTGAAATGTCAGCTTTGTCTTCTTCCTTTTGAAGATCCTACTTTTGTTTGTGAAACAAAGTTGAGATTACCTCTCTTTCTGTCGAACGGCAGTTTTGCAACCCCTCAAAAAACAGATGACTCGGTGCTTTGCGAGTGAGGTGTGTGTCACGGCTAAATCGTCTCCTTTGATAGGTGACTGGGGAAGATTTCTAAAGCCCTTGGGCAGGCGGATTAGAAGGAAGCCGCTCATCACCGTGAGGGCTGATATGACTGAGTCTCTGCAGGTTGAAGGGGGGTTACTGGAGGGGCTTGTGCTAGTGGCTAATCTGACTGTTGAGCTGTGTCGGTAATAGCTTTCACAGACGCCACAATAAACAGCCGGCCTGAATTGGCGCTCGAGGGAACGTTCAGTCCTCATTCTCCGCCGTCCGCTCTTTCACCACAAGCTTGGTTTCGCACCGAGCCTCTATGGCCGTCCCTGGAAGGCTCGGGGATCTATTTTTCTTGTGGTATTGAGTCTTGCAGGCTCAATGGGCTGCACAATGCATCACCATCAGGAGAGTAACAGTTACATTAGCTTTAACATGTCTCTGGAGAGTGGCCTAATTAGAATGTGTTTTGAGGCGTGTAGTGCTGTGAAGGGAGGCAGAGATGTGAGAACAGCCTGAAGGGAAATAACAATATAGTTTGATGTTCTATTCAGGTAGTATACAGACATACTTTCTGGGCCTGCTTCATGATGCAAATTTGATGCAATTAGAAAGCAGCTCTTATACGGCATCAGTGACTTTAGGTAGGCCTGTCACAATTACTACATGGTCACCTGATCACAATTTTTGGAGCTGATTGCAGTTATTTAAGCTGATTGCATTTATTGGTTTCTACAGTCGAATGTTATGTTGCAACAAACAGATTGTGAATTAGGTAGGTTGAGTTGAAATGCATCAAAGAAAGCTGAAAATACATTTACTAAGACAAAAAAAGCTGAAAACTAAATTTCTGTTGCTATAACACCTTTAGAGGGCAGCAGTGAGTAATGTTCATTTAGTTGAGCTTGAGCTGTGTGCCATCATTTGGGAGATACTAAGGCCCAATCCCATTTCACCCCTCACCCCTACCACTTAGCCCTTAAGCCTCCCTTTTGCACGTTCACATCTAGGGGTAGGGTGTCCCGATTTTTGTAAAAAAAAAATGTTAGGGCTAAAAATGGAGGTTTTACAGAGTCACACTCCAAACTGAGTGTTATAAGAAAAAAAGGAAAAACAGGGAAGATGGCTGTGCAAACGACCAAAGAAACCCATAAAAGTGAGCAGTCAATTATTTTTTCAATGATTTTTATGACAGAGTGCCATCACAGGCCCACTGCCCCCCCTCAGTATAGGTCCAAGGACCACCAAGGGGTGCTTTGCAGCTCACTTGTGGTCCTCGGCCCAGTGGTTGAGAAACCATGATCTGGAATTCATCATATTTCAAACCTCAAGGCAGATAACTTGATAAATAATGAATGTAAATAGATAATTGCAGTGTGTTATTTTATTTACTTCTTATTCACAGAATTTTTGAAATATTGGATAATAGTTTGTAATATTTAAATTCTCATTGTTCTAAATTACAATATGTCAATCCACAATATTGTACATATAAAAAAGTTAATATGGAAAATAATTCCTGAGTTTGAATACCCCTGGTCATATTAACACATCCTCTACAGAGAACACACTTAAATTCATTTTCTGCTAATTTTAGTTTTATGTTTTTTTTTTTGTCAATTAAACATATTGGAAAAAAATATGTATAAAATATGTTAAATTCAGCAAATAAACAGTAAAAGCACATTAAAAGGTACAGTAGTGTATTAAGTGTAGAGGACAACTTATTATATTGGAAAAAAGTATAAAAAATAATAAAATATATGTGCCATAATCTTTGCACAGGTCATATTTTATGCTTTATATTATATCCATTATGTTAGATTCAGCAAATATACTGGAGAATAGTCTTAGTTTGTTATTGTTTGGTTTATTTTTTATTGTTAGGATTTTATCATTTTTATTGAGTGGTGTTTTTACAAAACTCTAGTTTTCACAATATTCAAACTAATCAATAGATTACTCAGTTACTATCAGTGTTAGTGAAAGCCTTGCACACAGGTAATATTGGTGAAAATCACATTGGGAAAAGTGTAAAGTCATTACAAAAGCTTTCACTGACAAAGGCCTCAGTACTAGTATACCAGCTGGCCAATGTAGTATTGATGGGAACGATTGTGGAGAAAACAGAAAACAGAAAACGCTCCTGTATCCTTGACCATTTCACTTTTCCCTTTTCAGAAGTCTCCTGATCTTTCTATACGTACCTTGCGTGCACTGTGGCAGCTCTGAGAGGAGTCGACAGGTTCGCAGTCACAGACCTTATCTCTCAGCAGCAACCCCTTTTTGCCTCAGGCAGGCGGTTGATGATATCTCAGCGCTATCGTTCCTGCCTGTTGGCACCTTTCCGCATCACTGCAGGTTCACGTCACATTCCAGTCAGCACTTCAGGTGCCTCTGCGGTTCTGAGGCTGTATGAGTGCCAGTGCCAGCGCAGACGTGCTAGCGTGCTAGCAGGCACGCTCATAAGCTTCAAATAGCTTCTCATTGCAAAGCTGAGGTAAATATTTCAAGAGGTGCTCATGAAACATTGTACTCCGAACACATTGTCTTTCTTTTTATCAGTCTCTCAAGGCTGTTGATCATTTTTTCACGAGAGGAGTCGGTAAACTCAGCAAATTGCAATTTTAACAAATTTGCTAGCATGCTAACAAAGGCTCAGAGTGCTACCTTTTGGTATTTGAATTCATTAGTGGTGTGTTTGTCCTGTAGGCGTCATAAAAAGATGATGGCGCTTACCTATGCCAAGAAAACTCCAGGAAATGCTTATAGATGACAGGCCCAGGGCATTTGGGGAGAGTATTAATTTATGTATCAATTTAAAAAGGGCTGAAAACTGTGGCACACATGAATTATTCATCCTTTCCGAATAAGAACAGGACGCTCAGCTTGACAGAACAACAATCCTGCTACAGAGGTCTGTGACAGAGATGTTTTCTGTAACAATTGGTATCACTTGTGTGCTTTGCTCCACTGTTGATGTCAGCGTCCTTGTTTATAGGCCTTGGTGACCTGTTATTTTCGGATGTTCAATGAGTCATTTCAGTACATGTCAGCGTATGAACACACACCTGGAAAGTATTTAATGCGTATAAAAATGTGTGAGAAATATAAAAAAGAAACTGTCACATTTTGGTTACATTTTCAATTTAGCCTGTACAATATGGGCCCCTGAAAGGATTTCTTCTGTGAGGACTTCCATTGTGGAACATGACAGGCCATCATCAAGCCTTTACACCGTCTTTATGTCATCATCATGAAGGTACTTTTATTTTGCATCTCCTGAGAGGAGATTAGGTTGCCTGGGCGCTCTTATGGTTGGCTTATAAGGGTCGTGTGCTGCAAATGAGAAGTACATTTCCTCCAGACTGTTGAAATGTTGGACAACAAGCAGTTTTCGCCATGTGTCAAGAGTATCAAATACTTAAATGCTCAGCAAGTGAGAAACTATTATGGTGGTTGAAAATAATATATTCAAAAGACTCAAAGGCACAAAAGTGTATAATAAGGTAATAAGCCACGAGAGGCTGTGCTTTACAGAGGTTTTGTCACGGGTGGTTGTTAGGCACGACGTGATGCAATAACCAACTCCTCCACCAGGAAATGTAGTTACCAAGCCACCATGGACTGCTGAACAAAGGCAAAACATTATCACATACTATTATATTGCAATTTTATCACTTCAGCGATAATGCTAATTTTCACTAGCTACCTCTATGCGATTAGCGATTGTTGTGTTAGCTTCAAGCTAACATTACCACACATTTGTTCTCCCACACTAGCTTTAATACTACATACTAACTTTCTGACCAAAACACAGACATTTAAAGCATGTAAAACCTTCAATCAACATATTTTCTACTTTTTATTTTGCAGTTTTACAGTAAATATTCCAATAAATTCTTCAACTAAAATGCTTCAGTTCAGGACTAATGTTGAATAGAGCTTGCTGGCCTGTTAGCTAAGTGCTGAACTGATCAGTTTACTTCAAGTTGTTAAGAAAATAAGTTTAAACAAAACCACATTCTTACATAGGGTGTGTTTAGTACTGTTTTAGGCTGTTTACTCCTTATACACATTGATGCCTGGCTCTATCTATCTAAGGCCTACACTTCCTGCGAGTAGCATAATAGCACATTAATACAAAATGTATAGGTGTGTCTATATTCAGTATGTTACGTTGGCTTTGAATGCTGCTCAGCTAGTCAGATTTAAGATCGGACCTATCTATTTTATTATTGTATTTCATGCAAAAATAGGTCTGCTGTCACCTGCGTTTCATCTGGGCTCAGAACTAGCTTACAGCTGCTTTTTATTAGGGAGAGCTAAATGTGCATTTTAGCGATACCCCAAAATGGAAACCGTTGGCAAGGAGAGCAACTGGCTTTACTGTAATGTAAATGCAAATCATTCCCCATTTCACACAGCTTTGCTATCATGCATTGGTGCTTCAAATGACCGGCTGGACTTACTTTTATAAAATAATGCATGTAGATTCTGCTTTTATTTTCTGTGACACAAAAAAAAATGCAGTTAGGGCAGTGAAATGTCCAGCAGTGGTCATGCTATCTTTGTTGCAGTGATTGTTGCAGCTCTACTCATGCGTTTCTTCTCTTTGCAGATGATGGCCCTTACTCCAAAGGGAACAAGGACTCAACAGGGCCTGACAATTCCCTCACCTCCAGAAGACAGAGCATTCCAGGTACACCCAAAGTCTCTTTCTCTCTTTCTGTCTCTCTTTTGTGCCCACACAAACACTAGATCCTACCCTCGGAGAGTGCTAGTGCTACCCTGTTCCCTTCTCTGCCTTTTGATGTTGGCGAATGTGTTTATCCGCGGCCCCGTGGGGATTTCGCCACACTTCCTGCCATGACGGTTTAGATGCATGTTTGTGATGGAGAGCTTTGGGGCTTTAGTGCACACTGCTGGCAGCTTTCTCAAGGCGTTTCCTGCGGTTTCTTGAAAAGTGGTGTCTGTTTGAGTCACTGTGCCAGTTTGAAGAACTGTGACCGGCTAGGAACTCCTGCATGCTTAAAGGAACAATCTAGAGGATTTGATCTAATCTCTATCTGCTGCATCTGTAGATTTCAATAAACAACAGAAAATTTATTGACTAAAGTATAATAGGAGGCAAACTCATACATAATAAAAGCCAATGGGCAGGTGCTAAAACACCCTCCCATTGGCCTCTATTATACAGCCAGCTTCATAATTGGTGATACCATTTATAAAGATATTGTTCTTGGTAAGGGTTTTTGTTTTCGTAGACTTTAATTTAAAAAGATTTCTCATAATTTCAGGCCCCGTGCACAAACATCTGGATATTCGTTCACTGAAAACAGGTTTTTGAGAACACTCTCGACTGACTTGCTTACTTGTTAACATGCCTGTTGCTGTTTTCATTTATTAATAATGCAGAACTCTGTCTGAAATATGACAGACAACTGGATTGTTTCTGTGCACGCGGCAGTTTGGCTGTGATTTAGGAGTTATAATCATGTCCATAATTGAATTTGGCTTTAGTTGTTTATTAAACAGCAGTGCAAGGCAATCAGATTGTTCTGCTTGTAAAATGTACTAATGTACTACAGTTTTTGTAAATGGGGCTTCACCTTAACTGTGAATTTTAAAAATACCTCAGCGAATTTAAAGATTATGTGACTTGGGCCCATTTCACCTCTTGGCCCTTACCACTTAGCCCTTATCCCTCCATTTGTTGAGAAAGAGGGGTAGGGTGAAGTGTTAGGGCTATATGGCCCTCCAAACAGAGGTTTTTCAGAGGCACAGTCCAAACAGTGTTATGAGAAAAAAGAAAAACTGGGAAAGTGGCTGCACAAGCGACCAAAAACCTAGTATTTTCTCCAATTAAAAATTATGATAACCGTTGTATTATCTTAGTGTAATATTGTTTCAATGTATTATGGTCCTTTTCTTCATAACAAGCATAAAAAATCTCTAGTAGTTTGCTGATGTCTCGGTAGGTAGCTAAATTTCCTGTTCCACCTTAAATGGTGCAGCAGTTACGTTTTGGCACATCAGGCATCAGAACTGCTATACCATTTAAGGCGAAATAGGAAAATTCAAACGAGAAGCAGGTGAATAGCTGGCTTCAGCTTCATGTCACTGAAGAATTAAAGGTGGGTGATAAATAATTGTTGCATCCTCCCTTTTTGAAGGCATATGATTCCCTAAATGTAACTAAAGCCCAGCAGTGAGGTTGCTGAGCTGTACCCTCTTCTGCTATCACTGCAGACTGGCAGGGTCGCCTACAGAGCAGCGCTAGTAGCCTGATAATGAAGTAATGTTCTTTTTATTTGAGGGTCCCATTTCATACGGAAGATTTCAATCACTAGACCTTGTAGCTCAGTTCCAAGGGGCAAGGTGACACTCGAAAACAAGGGGTAGGGTTAAAAATAAGAAATGGGATTGGGCTCTTTTTCTTTTTTAAGCTTTTTTCCAGCAAAAATTGGACTTTTGATCCTCACGTGAGTCATTTTTGTGTTATTGTTTGGACATAGAAATGGGCACAAAAAATGCTGCTGGTGTGGACAAAGTATTTTATTTTAAAGGAGGGAAGAAAATATGTTTTTAAAAATATGCAGATATGCATGGATGAGACCTCAGTGTGAGACTGAGCTAAATGGCCACAAATGATCTTTTTTTTTACCAATGGTGCCAAAAATTATGCTGCTGACTGTAAGAGTCGGTGAGTTTCCTTTTTTCTTTTCCAGACACAGAGAAATTGTTGCCTGTGCTAATCAGTCATATTCTGCAGAAGCGGCAGGTAGAGATTAGGTTGAAAAATGCTGTATTCTTCTAATAGACGGAGGAGAAGACAAAGCAAGACCTGAGCAATTAAACATAGAGTTTCAAATCTTAAGCTAATTGGATTAGCTGAATCGACACTAAAAGATAATGAGGTTTAAACCAGAATGGATGTGATTTATCTTTTATGATGACTTTAATATTCATTTGTGCAATAATTTTGAAAAGAGGAAGGAAAAAGGAAGCATGTTTGGACACTGAGGCTGCCTTTATGTAGTTATCCATCAATATAATGCTCAGTTTCTTTTCTAATCGGGCTACTATTGACTGCTGACGAACGTCCATCCATCATTCCTCCTGTAAAAATGTTCATTAGAGGAACTGAGGGGAGATCTTTATTAAAGTGCTGTTTATCCATCTTTAGATAATCGTAATCTTAGATAATCGAGCGTAAAGATAGCTTGTAATGTATTTAAGCTTAGTGATAAATATATATTTTATCAGATTCTTGCGTGATTCAGAAATATCACTTGGTTAAATGCACTTAGCCACATTTAGCTGAACGCATATTTGGCAAGGATGAATATTTTATGGAGAATTAGGCCTAATCACCTTCAACTGGAGCTTAAATGGCCGTGGACTGCTCAGTGCACTTCAGCTCCCGTTCACGTTTTGCCTCTGCTCTGAGTTTGGGGAAAATGTAACGTTAATAATTAAAGCTTGGTGAAGTGAGCTCGTACATGGGTCGAATGCTTAACTAGCTGTCTTTTAAAGAGTGGTTTATAGGACGAATAAACACAGGGAGAAATGGCTGGAATTATTTGAAGGCCCAGGAAACAACCCAGCTTTATTTGGCATTTGCTCAATTGCCTTATATTAATTACCTTTAAATGCAAATGCCTGAAGTCTGTGGCTTATCGGGTTTAAGAACATTGGGTGTCCATTTAGAAGAAAATGACTTGTAGCTGTACGGGTTGTTAGATTTATTACCTCTTTTTGCTTCTAATTGGCTTTTTATTGTTGTTACCGATGCATTACAAGTCATTAAATGTTCACACAGCTTGTTTTCTGTTCAAGGTCTGAACTATGAATGATGATAGCTTATGTTCCACAAAGATTTATTAGCATTAGCTTTTTTTTCCTTGTTAGTTGGTACTAATTGGCTGGAGTTAGGTAACTTTTAATGAGGTAGGACAAAGATTGGTCTGTTTGAGGCATGCTTCTGTAACTTTTGGCCTTGAAAAGTGGTAAGACTCAGCTCTGTGTTTCTTAGCATTTTCTGTTTAGGAGAGTTAAAATAAAATTCAACGCTCAAATTTTCATCCAATCCAATGAAAAACAGGACATTCGCATGTTAAAGGGACCCATGTAAAAAATTAATAGTGCAAGTGTCAAAACATTTCACTCCGTACAGTCCATATGTGGAAACTATCCTGCATTTTTAATAAGTGTTTTTGTGATGTCACAAAAATCAGCTCATTTACATTTGTCCGCCTCTTCACCCTACAGCAGTTTAGCCCCACCCAAGTTATAAGGAGCCCCACCCAAGTTATAAGGAGTGTTTCAGCTCGGAGTGTTTTTTTTCAATAAGGCACAACCAATCAGAACAGAGCTTGTTTAAATACATCAGTCTTAAAGGCGCAGTAACAAATCCAGCTTGTTTAATTCTGAAGCATAAAAAGAAGTTGAAAATGATCTTGTCAAAATGATCAGTGGAACATAAAACCACACAAATGTTTTAAAGCTACCTCAGTTAGCAAATGCTCAGTAGAACATGCCATTGCTGACCATAAACAACAATAACAAAGAGTTTATTTTGGCTTTAGTAAGAGTTTTATATTGTGTAAGGGTTTTTGTCAAATTTGCAGAAAGCTACATATTTAAAACTTGAATGTATTAGAATATTTGACAAACAAACAAGGGAAGCATTCGAATTTGATTTCAGATCTCATTTGACAGACCTATTACTAGTGATGCACTGAAAATTACTGGCTGAAAAAAAAATAGCTGTTTTATTTTTGCTTTTAAATTAGACATTTATTATTAAAAAAAATTACAGTACGTAAGCTCCAGCCTCCTCAACAACAGAGAAGTTATTCAAGGCAATGATTTTAGTTTTTTTTTAGTTATACCTTGTACTTTGTGAATTATTCCATCATTTCTGTGCTAACCTACCGTTATTGTGCAAGCAGTGCTTTCCTATCTGCTTCTGTGGTTTTGCTGTATTCAGCGAATCTAGCGGGACATCCTGTTTTCAAGTGGTATCAAACCTGTAGGGTGGACTTTCTTGGGTTTTGTATCTCCTCTTGATACTTGGGATGAGCAAAGATTATAAATCTCTTGTCTAAAGTTCCTCATAGAAACCATGAAGTGGTTCCACATGGCTGATATATTCACTGTTGAGCTGCTGCTCAAACTGTTTGAACAAAGACAGCAAATTGTTAGGTGTTAGATTTTGACACTTTATTGTAGCCCTATTAAATCTTTAGTTTTTTTCAACCAAAGTTTTGGCCTTTTTTCTCTTTCAGTCCAAAACCTAAACTGCCACTTTTGACTATTTTAGCTGAATTGGTTTGGTGGCCAACATTTTGGAGCATCCCTACCTATTGCTGGTTGCACCTTTTTGGAAAAAACCATTGCAAATTCAAGTCTTATGAAACATGGTAATTTTAGAGTCATATCTGTGCAAAAAATATATCTGCTTATGTGTTACAGGGCCTTGTGGATGAGAAGCTGATGCTGACTGTGTTTGTGGAGTCATTCAATATTAATTACTTCTGCTAATGCATTAGAAGTTGATTCTGAATTCTTTAGTAATAGCAAATTCCTTGGTGTGAATTCTTTCCTGGAGAGCGTAGCAATGCTAGAATGAAATCGCTGCTGTGCTTTTTGTCATTTTCTTAGTCGCTCCCATGTGATATAGTAAGAGACAGTCTGTTTTAAGCACAGGCAGTTGAGCAATTAGGCTAGAATCCTCTCTCACTGTGTACATATCATCTCTGTTACAGCGCTTACAAGCCAGCAGAGCTAACGCTGAAGACAACTGTGTTTATATATCCCAAGGAACAAAGTGGATTCATTTTGCATTAGTCGTGGTGCACGTTAAAGTTTAATAGCCTAACCCTGTTTGGTTTTTCTGTATACAAAAGTGGCACAGTTAAGTCTCCTTCCACTTGCATAAGTAAGAAAAAAAGTTTTCTAGGGATGCACGATTTCTGGTGCGATAGCAAAAACCCATAATTAACACCTTATTTTGGTCAATAAAGCACCCCTGGCCAAATTACATAATTAAATGTTTTTGAATTGAAAAGAATTAAACAACATTTGCAGCAAAATGTTAAAAAGATAACTGTGGTATGTGGAAAAGCTTGGACACCCTACTAAGTCAGTACTTGTACCCTCTTTGGCAGATAACACAGCTTGCAAACACTTTTTGTAGCCAGTTATAAATATTTCTGTTTTTATTGTATGAATTTTCACCCATTCTTCCTTGCAGAACACTTGTAGTTCTGTGATGTTCTTGGACATTTTCAAGATCTGCCCTACAGATTTCCAATGATATTCAGGTCAGGGCACTGTGAGGTCCAACCGCTTTTCAGCTTTAGTTTCTGGACTGACTGTGTTACGTTTACTTCCAAAATTTGCTGATATTTAGTAAAATCTATTCTTCCATCTGCCAATGCAATGTGTCCTGTCCCACTGACTGTCACACAACTCTAAAGAGTAATAGATCCCCCATATTTAACAGTTAGTAAGGTGTTCCTTTCATCAAATGCTGCTTCTCTTCAAACATAGCTTTAGTGATTTTGGCTAAAGAGTTTTTTTTTTGCATACTTTAGATGTAGACTTTTGTGTTGGGTTGTATTTGCTTGTTTCCATGTCAAAATTCCCAAAATTTTGCTAGAAATATATAGTATATTTTTGACTGGAACTTATATTTTGCACTATTATCAAGTGAACTGTGTTATCTGATTCAGTACAAGTGTGTTACCAGTACCAGCAATTAATACAAATATTTAACACTGTAGATAAAATAGCAGATACTAAAAAATACAGCCAGAAGTTTGTTTTTTCAAACTGTCACTGAACCAATTGCTAAAATATACCAAACAAAACAATCTGAATGAATAATCTGAGCTTAATTGTGGAAATACAGCTCAGCTTTTCTGGTTTAATGTGGAATGTGATGTTTGTTGTGTAGCCATGACAGAGCTAAATTAGGCAAGTTGATTATTGTAAGCATTTACATATGTAGCAGTTGTTCTTATCTAGAGCCAATTAGTCTTAGGTGAGTGTAACAGTTTAGTTGCCCAAGCACTCTTGGGTATAGCAGCCTTGAGTTCCTTGAGTTAATGCACACCACTAGTGACTATGTGATAATTGCAACTTTTGGCATTCCTGGGTCTCATATTATGGTCAAAATAACAGAAACAGGTGAACGTATACAGATCTGAACTAGTATGAGGATAGCATAACACAAAAAACTTTTCTTACAAAGAGAACTGATGAAAAATAAGAGAAATAAGAGGTAATTAACAGGAGCCAAAGCTGCAAACAGTTCCAGGTAGCTCTGCCCCCAGTGCCACAATATTTAAGACTTTAAAGTTGAAGTTTCTGCTGTTCATCTGAGTTTACATAGTGTGGCAATTTAGAACAAACAGTCCTATCAGTATAAGTATAAAATAAATATCGCTTTTGTCAGAAGAAAACCTTGTATCTCCAAAATGGTAACTTTATAGAAGGAAAAAACCTACCTTACTTTTAATGTAAGTCAATGGAACCAGAGTTTTTTCCAAGTCATTTTAGGCCTTTTGATTTGGTCCATTCATCATGACATTTACACACAATGTAAAGGGTAACAGGCCTTTTCAAGTTATGTCAAAAACTGAAAAATGTCAAAAATGGAGATACAGTGTTCTTTTCTGACAACAGCGATATAACTGTTTATTATCGGAATGTTTAGCCCCCTAGCCCCCGGCATCAGCAACAACTTTTTCATGTCGGTCAGGCTCATATATTGTCCTTTCTTTTTAATACTTTTTTCTGCTTTTAATTATAATTATATAATATTATAGAATGTGGTACACTGTGTGACTGTAAGTGCAGTTCAGATGTTTTCTGTTGTGTATCTAAAGAGGAATATTAGAACGAGAGTAGCTCAGTTATGGACAGTGGGTCAAAGTTAATGACTGCGTTTATCCCGCTGTCTGGCATGCAGCCATTGTGCTTGACCGCATAATAACGGATCACTGGTGGTGCGATTCTGGAGTCAGTGTAATGTTGTTGTGTGGCTGACTCTCTCTCTCTGGGCTCTGCTGTGTGTCTGGCTCTTGTGTTTCTGGGCAGAAGAGCTGCGGGGGGTGACACTGGTGGAGCTGATTAAGAAGGAGGGCAGCACTTTGGGTCTCACCATCTCAGGAGGAACAGACAAGGATGGCAAGCCACGCGTCTCCAACCTGCGACCGGGAGGCCTTGCAGCCAGGTGAGGTCAATTCACACATAAACAGAAATTTACATGCTGCTACATGGGACAACCACGACCTGAAACAATGAGTGTGTTTACATGCACTCAATAATCCAATCATTATCGGATTTCTGCAGTTATCTGATTTTTCAAATGGTCATGTAAAAAGCACACTGATTTCTTAGATCGCAGTAAGGTCTAGAAATCTGATAAAGAGAGCTGGATTTTAGCTCAGTAATCAGATTTTCAGTGCATGTAAACTCTTACTCTGATTTCTTTCGGATTTCTCAGTCTGTGCATGTGTGAAAACAGACCGCGGTACTGGAAATAAGCAAGCAGTGTTGCCACGAGACGCAGCAAAACACCTTTGGAGAGACCAACTACATTGTCAATGAAATGAAGGATTTAAATATTCTTCATCTTCTAGATGATGTACGTTCATATTTTTAGGTAAAGTGGCGCAATGTTAAAAAAAAAAGACGCGGCGTAAGGTTTGATTTTTACATCACGTTTACGTGACGTCTTCTTCTGTGAGTTTATTGGCTAGAGTTTCACATTGATTACTCAAGTGCATGTAAACATGTTGATCCAATTACTGACAAATCAGATTTTCTGCAGTTATTGGATTATTAAGTGCATGTAAACACATTCAATGTTTTTTATTCTTAATGTTACTGTAATGTTTAGTCATTATGACATTATGAGTCTTTTTACACCCATTTTTTGTGGATTAAAAAGTGGATATGATTTTTAAATCACTGAAACTCTTGCTCCACTGCGCAAACACGTGTATTCATTGAGCAATAACGTAGACATCATTGTATTTTTTCTTTTGGCTAGTGCGTCTCAAAGCCTCAAACACTGAGTAACAGCCTGTTCTGCTAAAATAGTTCACCGACTCACGGAGGAGCTCCTAAGCAGTGATGTGTGATGGCTTAAGGCTCCAAACCTTAAAATGTATTAGTAAACCACAAGCGCAAACTCTGAAATTAAAAAGACTCCAGAAGTGTTCATTTTTACATTAATTGGTACATTTTGAAATTTTAACAGTGTATAAAACATTAAACTCCTTTGTCTAAAAAATAATTTTACATGATGTAGCCGCATTAAATAAAGAAAATGAAAAAATATATATCTGTTAATAATTTTGTCTCATATGAATGATTTTTCAGAATTGCTCATTTGTCCCAGCCCTATTAGTATCAACTGCAATGGTTGCAGGTACTCTTAGCAGGACACACTTTCACACACACACCTTCTCTCTCCTCTATGCTCCACCGTATCCACAGTCAGACACGTCAGAGCACATCAGCAAATCAGAGGATGATGCTAGAATCACCTGACATCTCACAAGGGCACAAATCCGAAAGAATGCTAAAGTCTGTGCTTGATGAGGCTAAAAATATGTACTCAGCATTTGCACTTCAGGGAACTACAGTGAAACTTACCGGTAGCAAGATACGCAACATCATTCAGACATTTATGGAATAGAAGATATAGAGTGGTCTCAAAGCACAGATGTCTTTATTAGATGTTAAAGATCTCATTCAGAGCGATGTTTTCTTTACTGTACAACACTGTCTACATAGTTTTGTGAAATGCTCTGGGTAAAGAATGAGGAATTGCTGCAGTGACAGCAGAGCAGGAGAACAGAGTGTGTCGCTGTTGTCGGAGCAAAACCTCTCCATCTCCATTTTTCAGTTTTTGACGAAATTTGAAAATACCTGTTGCACTTTACATTGTGTGTAATTTCAATGATAAGTGGATCAACAGAAACAGCCCGAAATGACTTGGAACAAAGTCTGGTTCCATTGACTTACGTTAAAAGTAAAGTATGTTTTTTCCATCTCCTGTAAAGTTATCAGTTTGGAGATACAAGGTTTTGTTCTGACAGCAGCAGCATATTTATTACGTACCTAAAACAAGTAATAAAATGTGAGAGATGTGGAACCAGTTCTAGTGACGACCTGGAATACTGCGGGCACAGATATATGTACATTCACTGGAGCAGCGCAATGTGTGCCCACAATGCGGCTCAAATTCATGTTCAGTGTGCTGAGACTGCAGCTTCTCATAGCAAGTTAAACTTTTGGAGCTGGAACTAAGGTACACCCCCTCTCAACCCCACCCTCTAATTCTTCTAGTCTGTTTAGCTCAAATGCAAATCTGATATCTCTGATATATCTTTCCACATCACTTCACTCCAGCTGTGTCATCATAAATGTGAATGGCAGAGGCCACATACAGCAGTTGGTAACTGTTATCACAGGTCCAGTGATGTCCAGAGGTGGGAATTAATGAAGTATAAGTACTTAATTACTGCACTTGAGTAACATTTTTACATATCTGTACTTTACCTGAGTATTTCTGTTCCTTAATACTTTGTACTTTTATGTACGAAAATATTTTTCGTAAGAAATCTGTACTTTATACTCACCACATTTTTCAAACAGACTCGTTACTCTGTGTACTTTGTGTTTTATTTGTCTGTTTTCTAAAGCCTCAGATTGCATTTTTTTCTGAAGAGACATATTAATTCACTAGTGCATGTACCATCCTCTACATAGCTATCATCAATTTGCTGAAAGACCTTGAGAAGTAGACGATGAGTACCCCTCACTACTGCTAGTTGTGGTTTTCAAGGGTTGCTAACATCGCTAACATTTATATGGGCTGATTAGTAAAAATGAAACTTGCTGGATGTTTTCTTCCAAAAAGAAATGCAATAAGTGCTCGTTTCTTCAGTCTTTTCGTTTAGTGTGATGTGTGGTTGTACACACTTAAAAAAAAGACAGTGGTTCTATATAGAACCATGAGCACACAAAGAACTCATTGCATGATTAAAGGGTTCTTTGCATTGTGAAATGGTTCTTCGGAGAATGTGCTCTAGATGGAAAGGATTTTGGAAAGTGTTCTATATAGCACCAAAAAGAGTTCTTCTATTGTTACAAGCTTAACATCGTTACAGTAGCAGAACCCTTTTGGGTACTATATAGAATCCTTTCCAAAACTACAGAACATTCTCCATCAATCGGAAGAACCTTTTTTTTAATGCAATAAAACCCTTTAATCATGCAAAGCGTACTTTGAGCATTCACAGTTCTATATAGAATCATTCTCTTGGCTGAAGAACCCTTGAAGAACAATGTACAGTAGTTTGACCCTGCAAAAATACTGCGACTGCAGCTCGTCACGCGAACTGTGTAGCTCCGCCCACTAACTCCTCGCTCATGAGGTGCAGCATTTAAAAGCCCAGTGAAATAAGCTTCCAACAAGCTAGCGGTGTTAATGTGTTAATAAATAAAGGTTTTTCTTGGCAAAACTTTCTACAGCGGTGACAGTGAGAACTTTGTGGCCACATCGCGGCATATTTCGCTGTGTCTTCTCGCACAAGTACGTCTGGTCCTGAGAGTCCCAGGAGTCAATATTCTTACCCACAAATATTTTCATTCCAACAAAACAGAAGCTTGTCTGATTTTACTTGGTGTGTGGGGCTTTGCTTAGTTGTTTGGTATATAAAATATGAGGATGTGTTAACAAATTTTCACTTCAAACAAAACGTGTCATTTCACCAGGGGCGCCCAAACTTTTACTATCCAGCAAAGGATATTTTAAAATGTTTTAGACAATATTTCAAGATGTTTGTGACCAAGAAGTGAATAAAATGACCAATTATATACTTCAGGTTTGATCTCCACTTTGGAAATATGAGGCGTTCTGCATGTTCATTTTATCATAACTTCAGTTTCGATTCTGTGCAGTTTTCTCAGTCATTTCATTTCATTGTGGACACATCAAACATTTCTTTATCTTTTTTTACAGCTTCCTAATGGCCTAGTAATTTCAAATGGATTCAATTTAACCTAACAGGTTAAAGAGTGTGCAGAATTTCAAATCATTTTATACACTTACCTGCGACCAAATTGGTTTTATATGATTGAAAACATTGATTCCAAACTTGTGAGCAGCAGTTCCAGTGCACACTTGCTCAGTTCCCACCACTTCTCATCCATTAGCAAAAGTATTTGACCCATATATGCCTGGCATGTCAATATTTTTCCCCTCGACCGTGCTTCCACTCTCCAAATGGCTGCTGGGTTGATAACATGTTTTTGTCAGGCATCGCTCTGCCAGACCATGCAAGCCCGGAGGACAGTGGGAATAAATAGTGTTCATTTCTCTAATTAGCATCTAAATGAGCATATGTTTACTCCCTGTAGCGTGTTCAACAGCAGATAAAGAATTCTTACTCTGGATGACTGACTCACCATTCAGCAGAGAATTAACATATCTGTTCTGATAAACCACTGTACGCTGCGCTGAATTAAGAACTTAGCAATGCAAGAATTGACTTAATGAAATTGTGTTGAATTTCAGTGCTGAATGCCAAGAATGATTACGCAATCCCTGGCAAGGAAATCAGGATATATTGAGGCCAAGCAAGAATCTATTTTTCTGTATTAGGACATTCACAGTAACACTTTTTGACAGTAAAACTACAGTATAGCACACTGCAGTATGTCGTAGTGCAGGAGTCTGCAGCCCAAATGTTTGAAGCCATTTTAAAGAGCCATTTTGTCCTTTAAGCAAAAATGAATCCACCTTTGGAGCCACAACGTTTTATGTCCATTTTACCATCTTGGCTGTAAATATGTCTCAGTATGTGCTAAGGTGTTAGTATAGGATAACAAATTTAATATAAACGAAAACACAGACTCACTTTGCTCTGCTTTAAACTTAAGCTCAGCTATAGATGCTTTTCTCGCATCTCTGGCAGGAAACTTTTCTTCAAAAGTGGAATAGTTTCTTGTGTCTCTCAGTGTTCAATTTTTTACAAGGCTGAGGTCAGCTTCTCACTCGCCAGCTTCTACTGTTCCACCTTAAAGCAGACACTATTTAAGGTGGAATGGGAAGATTCAAACTTGAAGCTGATTTTAGCTCCGTGACTTTTTATTGTTTGACAGTTTCTTGTTGCAGATTAAATGTATCAGGAAACCAGCTGGAGTGATTATCAATGCAAATAAGTCCATTCATCTCCAAATTATCCATGTTCATCGTAAATCTCTCTCTTTGCCGTTTCGCTAGCAGCTAGGTGAGATTGTTATCTGCGTTGCCACGGTGACCAGCAGTCTGCGCACCAACTTTCAGGGTTAAAGGGTGAATTAGCAGTTATACATTAACGTTTAAGACCATTTATTGTTAAAACTGTGTTAGAATGATCAGAAGAGCTTTATTTTACTGCAAAGGAGGATTATTTTATTTTTACCTAAAAATCTAATCTAAACGTTGCCGAGCCCTGATGTAGTGCAAGTGTATTTATACAGTCATATGTAAACGTTTGGAAATGTGAAAATACATCAACATATCCTCTACAGAGAACACACTTATTTACTGAATTTAACATAGTGGGGAAAAAATAAAACATAAAATGTGGCCTGTGCAAAAGTTACAGCACCTTTTACATTTTATATTTTTTCTCCATAATGTTAAGCTCAAAGAAACAGAAATTGTGCACTGAAATCTGCTGAAAATATTCAAGTTTGTTTCCTGTAGAGGATGTGTTAACCCTTTTTTATGTTAGAAAATCAACAAAACATATAAGAAACATTCTTTCTGAATGTGCTACTGAAGTTTTTTCCTATTTGTTACTTTTTTATGATAAGTAAGTAAACATTATTCATCAAAGTAACTTTGAAGTTGGTGATTCAAGCAATGACTCATGAACTACTCCATATCTGATGAAACTGTCATACATCATCGAGTGGTAATTTGAATGCAGTTGATGAATCATCTTCTGCAGCTTGGTAACAAGCACCTGCACACAAACCCCTCATTTATATATCATTTGTAAATTACTCAATTTTCCCTATTTTTATTTTCTCATATTCATACTAGATCAGCAATAGTGAGCCAAGAAGTAAAGCCCTTATATCCTGATTACATGAAACGCATCCTATTTTAGGCTGCGTGGGCCAATAAAAGAAAATTATTCAGCAGGCTCAGGAGCTGCTAGTCATTCTTCATCTGCCCAGTTATGCACGAACAGCTTTGGATTCTTCTACAGGGAGATTCACTTGAAAGAGGCCCCAAATATTCTGTTGTAACTCCCGTTAGGATGAAGCAAAAAAATAAGCTACATACCTTGACCTATGTGTAATTGCATTACATGCATGCTGGAAGTGATCTCCGTTTTTTGCCAGACATATGAAGACGTACGGGGATATGCATCCGGAAGTTGCAAACGGCGGTTGAACGCTGCGACGGCTGCCGACCTCATTGCTCAGACGCAGGGGCATCCCGGCTTGTTCGAAGCTCCATATGCTGAAGAGCACATTGCACGTTTCATTCAGATTGCTTCGTCCTAGCGAGACTTATTACAGAATATTTGGGGCCTCTTTCGAGTGAATCTCCCTGTAGTACAACTAAATCTGCTATGATTTAACAGTGCTGGAAGAACCCAAACCCAAACTTCAGTGGAAGGACAAATTCTGATTCACATTTACAAATGTTGACAATATTCAAAGTGAATTACAAACAAAATTTTAGTACAGTGGTTCCTGTATTACTGATATTATTTTGATTTTAATGATTTTTGCACAAATAAAAAGCATTTCAGGTTAATAAATCACCCTCTGATTAGAGCAGACATGCCAAAAATAATAACACCATGTGAAATTTGTGTACATGTTTAGTAATGGTCTTTTATTTCAGTTCCTGTTGATTTTGTTTAATCTGATTCAAATCCGAATTCTGCTTTGGACCAGGAGTGACCAGCTGAACGTGGGAGACTACATAAAGTCGGTCAACGGCATTAACTTGACCAAACTGCGGCACGATGAGATCATTAGCTTGCTGAAGAACGTGGGCGAGCGTGTGGTGTTGGAAGTGGAGTATGAGCTGCCCCCAGCCGGTAGGAAGTTGAGTATTGTGTTCTTGCTTGTCATGTGGCATGTCCTTTCTGATTTAAGTGTTTCATTCACATCATTGACATTTATCCATAAACACCGATCAGGCATAACATTATGACCACCTCCTTGTTTCTACGCTCATTGTCCATTTTATCAGCTCCACTTACTATATAGGTGCACTTTGTAGTTCTACAATTACAGACTGTAGTCCATCTGTTTCTCTGCATACTTTGTTAGCCCCCTTTAACCCTGTTCTTCAGTGCTCAGGACCCCCATGGACCCTCACAGAGCAGCTACTATTTGGGTGGTGGATCATTCTCAGTACTGCAGTAACACTGATGTAGTGGTGGTGGTGTGTTAGTGTGTGTTATGCTGGTATGAGTGGATCAGACACAGCAGTGCTGCTGGAGTTTTTAAACACTGCGTCCACTCACTGTCCACTCTATTAGACTCTACCTTGTCAGTCCATCTTGTAGATGTAAAGTCAGAGACGATAGCTCATCTGCTGCTGCACAGTTTGTGTTGGTCATCCTCTAGTCCTTCAACAGTGGTCACAGGACGCTGCCCACAGGACGCTGTTGGCTGGATAAGAGTACTGAGAGTACTGGACTAGGATTATTGGACAAGTTGTCCAGTTAATTATGGATATACACCAGATTATGAGTACATATAATACAGTTGTATATGATACCAGCACAACTGTCACTGCTGTGCTTAGAACGGTCCAGCACCCAAATAATGTGTGTTCAGCAGTGATCCTGTGGTCATTGCTTTTCATTAAAAAGGAATTCGGTAACACTTTATTTGGATAGTCCACTTTAGATGTTTTGTGGGTGCTTAATTTACTTTCAAGTTACATTCAACTAAATACCTACTAAACTGACCATAACTTTCTTTACCGCGAAACCTGGTTCTTATCCTAACCCTAACCTTCACCTCAACCCAGAACCTAAACCCAATCCTCGCCCTGGTCCGAGCTCTAACCCTGGCCCAAATCCTAACCCTAATTTATCACTATTTAGCATCTACTGAATTTAAGCAGATAGTTTGTTAACAATTTGAACATCTGTAGATAATCTATAAGGGACTAACCAAATAAAGTATGACCGGGAATTCCATAAATATCTCCATATTTCTGCTTATTTGAATCGATAAGTTCATCCGAGTGGTCTGATGTGAAGTGTGCCAGTGTGAGTCAGAATTGTTCTCAGTGGGGGTCATAGGAACCAGATGTCCAAAGAGTTTTGTGCCTCTAAAAGCTCCGACTCAGAAAGCTATTGCATGAAATGGTTATGAATACACTGCCTGATGTCTGACCTTGTTTTATGTTAGTTTTGAGAGTTTTTGGTCTAAAACATGGTTTTTTAACCTCTTATTCTCCAGGGTATATTTTTCCATCTGAATTTACATGCCCAAATCGTAAGGCAAATTGTTCAGTAACTGCATGAAATAAATGTAAATTTTTATTTTATTGTATTTTTTTGGTAAAAGCTCCCCTCAAATTAACAGAAAATGTGTTTTATGATCAGACACATATTGCTATACGCTTACAATTTACTGCTGAAAGCCAAATATCTTAGACGCTCTTTGTATTTTTTTATAAAAATAAATTTTACAGAGCAGATCACTGGAGAGACGCCATCTGGGATCCAGTTTATAGCGTATATTTGTGGAAAATGGGTCGACTTTCAGTAGAAAAAAAATAGTGAGTTCAGCTTCTTTTATTATAAAGTTGTAAAATTACATCACCCATCTATTTGACTGGAGAGAAGACAGTTACAGCTCTCATATGACACCCACATTTTGAATGTAGCTTATGAAATATGTAAGTTATGAAGAACATGATGACGTGTGTTTTGGAACCACCGGTGGTCCCAAAGAAGTTCAATTTATGGCGAAGAGGTACACGCAGGGCATTACAAGGCCCTTTTTTCATATTTTTTCAGATTTGTCTCTGTTGTACCATTATCAATATTACATAAAAACTCAGAAGACATGTAGGTTCACTGGTGGTTTTGGATAGTAAATACAAGACTTTTTGACCTCTTGTTCCGTTCACCACCACTGTAAAGAATTCTGAGTTGGTACATTTTTCTACAACAAGCCATTTCACATCAAACCACTCTGCATGACTTTGTTTTTAACTCAGTGACTGAATTAAATTAACCTGCTAAGTGCACCTATTTGGTAAGTGGACCCAATAAAATGACCACTGAGTCTAGATACGAAGTAGGTGTACGTGACAAACTGGCTGCTCACTATAAATTCATTATTAATGTAAATGATATTTAGTATAATCTAAATGATATTTAATTTAATATAAATGACACCCATACTGCATTCATCACTGCTCCCTTAAAACAGTTCAGAAAGCAGTTATGGTGCAAATAAGTGATTTTTCATTACAGATCGAGAGTGTCCTGCCAGCCTTCCTAAGTTGTTGAAAAATAAAAAATAACCATGGCAAAGAACAGCTAGAATTTACAAATAGAATTTATTCAAGATTCTTTATTACACACATTCAAAAAATAAAATGAATGCTTAACAAATGTATCCTGAAGTATACAATGCCCATGATTATACATTAACTATGTCAGAATCACTTGACAATTTAATGAATATATTTTAAAGGTTATACTAAGAAGAGGACCTAATAATTGAATGTTGTGTTGTCAACAGTTCAGAAAGTTAACAAATCAATTGTATACATAAAACTGACAAGCAGTCAAACAGCGCTAATCACATCCTCTTATAAACTGAGAGTGACAATTAACAGGAAGTTTATGTGTATGAAGCGTTCGTGGCATATTTGGCATATTTAGTCGTTGGGTGTAGGGAGCACTTCTGATCACAGTATGTATATCTTTTTAATACCACGTGCATAGAATCGTATTCATTCCCTGTAAAGAAGGAACGTGTATTTTAACGTATTCATGAACACATCACAAAGGGCGCTTTAACCTGCTTGTGGGCTTTGGGCCTACAGGTGGTCATGGGCCCTATGGGTCTAGTCAAAATCAGAATAACTCAACACAACACAACTGAGATCCTTCTGGACTAATGTGAAAAAATTGCAGCAGATTTAGTAAGCATGGTAAGAGGTACCCCCAAACCAAATGACAGGCAGAGTTCAAAAACTCCAAACCTTTGTTTCCAGTGAAGGTTCTCACACTGCGGCCACCAGTCAGTGACTTCCAGCACTGCCATTCATCATCTCTCCATTAGAGCATTAACTTAATCCCACAATTAGACCACTAAAAGCCGTAGACGGTCAAGGTTTCACATTAACACTGAGAAGGCAGCCAATTTAAAATGTCAATAGTACTTTTCTGCTTAGCTAATATTACTAGCCTACACTCTTAGCAAAAAGGGTTCTGTATAGTACCAAAAAGGGCTATTTGGCTTGTAACAAAACCCATTTTTATGCTATATAGAACCCTTCTTTAAGACATTTCTATATAGAACCATAAAGCACATTTTCAATCAGACTGAAGAACCCTTTCATGATGCAAAGAACACTTAAATCATGCATGAGTGTTCATGGTTCTATACAGAAAAATTTTCTTCACTAAAGAACCCTTGAAGAACCATCATTTTCAAGAGTGTAGTCACACTGCACCTCATATTTTACAGCACTGCGGAGCTTCTCCACCAGTGTGCAGTAGAGTTCACGCAGTTTAGTCAAGAAAATGGTTATATGTAGAACCATAAAGACTCAAAGAACCCTTTATGTGATTTAAAAGTTCTTTGCATCGTGAGAGGGTTCTTCAGATTGATGGAAAATGAGCTGGTTCTATATAGAATCTTTTTGAAAAGGGTTCTATATAGTACCAAAAAGGGTTCCACTGTTGTTACAAGAACGCTTTTTTGGTGCTATATAGAGCGTCGCCTATTGTTTGATCATCTTAAAACAGGGTAAATGATCCTTTTCTTGAGTAAAACTGTAAAACTGTTCTAGTGGAACAATAAGTAAACATATCTTAATATTTTTTATTTCTTTCTTGTCGTTTTCTGGGCCAAAATGTCTTTAATAATGTCAAAGTTCTTAAAATGTCACATCATTATTGAACAAGACAGCAGTCAGTCTAATGTTAACATGACATTCTGACTATGGGAAGTAACCAGTGTGAGCTAGAAAGGTCCCATTATTTTGGGAATTTTTGGAATAAAGTCTGCTCTTATAAGGTACCTGCTTTTCTTTTTGAGCTTTATTTTAAGCTCTGCCCTCATATATTCATACAAATGCTGTAAGTACATTTAACGTTTAAGTCAGATGCATCAAATACAGCCGCCGATCTATGTCCAAGCTCAAGTCAAAGCAAGGTTTATTTAGCACTGTTTACAACTGGCATTGATGGAAAGCAGCTTTACAGAAAAAGCTCATGTTTTTAATAACTCTGTCGAATTTTTTGTATCTATCATGATGCTGCCACCACCATGTTTTACTGTAGGGACGGTATTAATGAGGGGATGCTCGGTGCCTGGTTTCCTCCATGGGGACCATGGGGAATTGTGGCCGAATAGTTGAATTTTTGTTTCTCATGGTCTGATAGTCAGTCAGGTGCCTTTTGGCAAACTCCCAGCAGGCTGTCATGTGCTGGTGTATGTGTGTAGAAGGGGGGAGAAGGAATAAAATATCTCTTTGTAAAAAAAAAAGCTAACAAAATAAAAAAGCAAACATTAATGAAAGCATTTTTTAATGAATGTTGTAAATGATTGTCATTTCAGTGGAGTGTTATTGTACCGTTTGTAAATATTCCATGAACGCTTCATTTACATGTAGTTTTTATAAAGCATTGCCGTTTTTTTATCAGTACTCTTACTCTTGAGAATTTTGACATCTCTGATCTTGATATATAATCTCAGATCACTGTACCATCTGAAACATTTGAAATACATAGATTTTGTTTGTGTTCACGAATCAAAGTGCAGAAAATAGTTCACAGATATAGTTTTGCTTGACTCCAAAGAGGCATGACCCACTTTTCGTGAGAGTGTTATGTGTGCATGCTCGTACCATGCAGAAATAATATATTTTTGCAGCCACATTTTTGACAGTAAGCTCATAAATCATCCATTTCTACATGGAATATTAAATATGTATCATAACCCTGCAACCTTAACTGGGTCTTGAGGTGATTGTATCCCTTTTGGTCTGTGGTTAAATATTGTGATTGTGAGTCTGTAAGTGCAGTTCTGGCTTTATCGCATGCCTGGCAGATATACTCACCACTTTATAAGCTCAGTGATTTTGGCTGACCTCCCTCTGTGTGTCAGTTTATGTGCAAGTCTGTTTATCAGATTGTCTGCCAGGCTGGCCACCGGCCCAGTAAAACGTGTTGATTTAATGAACGTGACGGTGTTGGCTCTTTCTTGCTTTCTGTTTTTTTTTTCCTACTTAGCGCCAGACAGTACCTCAGGTGTTATATCTAAGACAATCGAGATCTGTTTGCACAAAGAAGGCAATAGCTTTGGGTTTGTGATGCGGGGTGAGTGCATCGATTCTTTCGTTGTTTAGTTTAAGTAATTTTTCAGTAAACATTACAAAATGATCTTGTATCTGTTGCAAAAATTGTTTTGGGTAATATTTTTCTATGTTGTACACAGGAGGCTCTCATGAGGACTGGCACAAAACTCGGCCATTAGTAGTAACATATGTCCGGCCAGGAGGCCCTGCTGACAGGTAAGGGTCAAATCAAGAATTTATTTGTCTTATTAGCCTGTTGTAGTTTCAAATTTTCACCAAAATATGGCAGTTTATGTTCCCTGGAAATCAACCCAGTCATCCTCGAACTGGAATCCTGGAACCAGATGCACAGTATGTGGACGAAAGTATTTAGATACTCACACCTACAGGAGCTTTTATGACATCCCATTCTGAATCCATAGGCAATAATATGGAGTTGGTCCCCTCTTTGCAGTTATAACAACAAGGCTTTCTACAAGATTTTGGAGTGTAAATTCTGTGGGAATTTTTGCCCATTAATCCAGAAGAGCATTTGTGAGGTCAGACACTGATGTTGGCTTACAATCTCTGTTCTAGTTCATCCCAAAGGTGTTTGATTGGGTTGAGGTCAGGGCTCTGTGAGGGTCAGTCAAGTTCTTCCACACCAAACTCACCCAGCTATGCCCTTATGGAGCTTGCTTTGTGCACTGGGGGTCAGTCATGCTGGAACGGAAAAGGTTCTTCCCCAAACTATTCCCACAAATTTGGAAGCATAAAATTGTCCAACGTGTCTTGGTCTGCTGAAGCATTAAGATTTCCCTTCACTGGAACTAAGGGGTCTAGGCCAACTCCTGAAAATAACCCTGTAGCATTATCCCTCCTCCACCAAACTTTACAGTTGGCACAATGCAGTCAGGCAGGTAGCAGAACACACAACACACAACACACACAACACATTTCCACTGCTCTAGAGCCTAGTGGCGATGTGCTTTACACCACTTTTCCTCACTTTAATTAAAAATAAAAGATTTAGATGTATTACATGAACGAAAGTTTCAAAACTATGCTCCAAACTATACTTCAAAAACAGGCTATTTTGAATTTGCGGTATGTTTGATGTCATTAAACCAATACATTTACATATATCAGCCTTTTCAGCCTAGTGCAATTTAAGGAGTGTTTCAGCATGGACTGTTTTTTGATATTCGTATAGCCAGTCAGAACAGAGCTCATTTACATATATTTTACATATATTAATCCTAAACTTACAGTAACTAAAACAGCCTGTTTAATTCTGATGGATAAAGAGAGGTTGAATACATTACGTTTTTGATCCCAAAAAAAAAACAAGAAAAGTGCAGGATATGAGCCCTTTAAAAGCCTCAGTTATGTTGAATAAAATCAGCAAAATGTAATTGAAAAGAACTTCTATTCTAGAAAAGAGTTTCTGCCTTTTAGACTATATTACGTAAGAAGACTAATGAACAAAAAGGACAAAATAGGGCCATTGTCTGGGAGTTACAGTTCAGTTTTCTGATAAAAAGAGTGTTTATGGCAATCAAAGATGCTTTTAAACAAGTGTGTGAAAACACTGCATTCAACTCTGCCTTGGGGCTACAGATGGCCATGGGCCCTATGGGTCTAGTTAAAATCATTGACATCAGAATAATTCAACACGACACAGCTGAAATCATTCCTGGCTAATGTAAAAAAATGACCAGATTTAGTAAGCATGGAAAGCGGTTGCCACATGGCAACAATCAGCAGAGCTAATGACTAACATATCCCCACACCGGACAACATGCAGCGTCCAAAAACTCCAAACCTTTGTTTTCAGTGAAGGTGCTCACACCACCGCCGCCAGACAGTGACTGCCAGCACTGCCGTTCATCATCTCTCCATTAGGGCAACTTAATCCCAGAACCGGACCACTAAAGGCCGACCACTAAAGACGGTCAAGCAGTAGGCTGAATAGGTCGATATGATATTGCAGCCAATTTAAAGGGTCAGTTGTCTTTTTCATCTTAGCTAATATTACTAGCCTAGTCACATTGCCCCCATACTAGCGTGCAGTAGAGTTTACTCCAGTGACATCATCAAACAAACCGAGGCCCGCAAAAAAACTATACTAAGGGTTCTTTAGTGGAGAAAATGGCTCTATAAAGAACCATGAACACTCAAAGAACCCTTTGCATGCTTAAAAGGTTCCTTGCATTGTGAAATTGTTCTTTAGATTGATTCAGAATATGCTGTAGATGGTTCTATATAGAACCTTTTTGACAGTGGTTCTATATAGCATCCAAAAGGCTTCTTCTATTGTTACGCTGTCAAGGTTGTAACAATAGAAGAAACCTTGTGGGTGCTCTATAGGACCCTTTTCAAAATGTTCTATATGGAACCATCTCCAGCACACTCATGCACATTCTTCATCAATTTAAAGAACACTTTCACTATGCAAGAACCTGTAAATCCCCATGCAAAGTGTTCTTAAGTGTTCATGGAACTTTTTCTTTACTAAAGAACCCTTGAAGAGCCGTCTTTTTAAAGAGTGTAGTCTGTCATTTCATCATCTTAAATTGGGGCAAATGATCATCTTTTAAATTATAACTGTGGAACAATAAATAAACAAAACTTACTGTTCTTTCTCCTCATTTTCTTCTTTAAAAGAAACACTGTTAATAATGTCCCAGTTCTTAAAATGTCACTCTCAGTCCGCATCATTATAGAAGAAGACAGCAGTCAGCCTAATGTCAACGGGGCAGTCTGGCTGTGAGAGTGTTTATGACAGTCAGAGACACTTTTAAGCATGCGTGTGTAGTTTTGCAACAAAAAGACACTGCATACATCTCTGCAATGTGATTGTTGGTGCTGTTATGATAGAAGACACATTGGCCATTGAAGGCCGACTCAAAACGTGGCAATTTCTGCGATTTAATCTGCTCTTCTTTGTTGATTATGTGGTTTTGAGTTTAAGTTAAAGTTCAAGAGGCTTTATTGTCATTTCAGCTGTATACAAGTACACAATGAAAAGAAACAGCACTCCTCCAGGACCATGGAGCAACACAGGAACACAAGTGCAAGACAATACAATAAACACAGTGCAGACAATACAAAAGACTTTCAATACAAAAATACAGGCAGTACACGGTACTGAGAATATGTTGATTGTGCAAAGCAGGATGTAACACACTATGACGTATTAGCAGATACTCAAGTATTTATGAGCACAGCAGTCACTGAGGTAGCCACCAGAACAACAGTAACAGAATACAGTATTCGGTAGGTACAGTATTCTATCAGCCAATATTGTTAAAGAAATAAAGTGCAAAAATGCATCTAGTCAGATATGAATTATATTAAGTGAAGTAATTCAGTGTGAAATGCAGCAATTATATTTAAATACAGTGTCATAGACACAATCTGGAATTTCAAGACGTGGGGAGTGAGATGGAGTCAACACTGTGCGTGTACATGCACTTAATAATCCGATCATAATCTGATTTCTGCAGTTATCTGATTATTCAAATGGTCATGTGAACAGCACACTCTGATTTCTTAGATAAGAGTAAGGTCTAGAAATCTGACTAAGAAATCCGATAAAGAGAGCTGGATTTTAGCTCAGCCGATTTTTAGTGTATGTAAACTCTGATTATACTCTGATTTCTTTCGGTTTCTCAGTCTGCGCATGTGTGAAAATAGACAGCGGTACCGGAAATAAAGCATTGCAGTGTTGCCACAAGACGCAGCAAAACTTTGGTGCGACGCTGAAACCAAATACATGCCACGGCATGAAGTTTGAGTTTTACATTACATTTACGTCACATCTTCTTTTGTGAGTTTATTGGCTGGTTGCAAAGCAGGAATCTGATCACTGACTCATGTAGACCCGGAGTTTCCCATTATCTGATCAACCAAGTGTATGTTAACACGTCGATCCGATTACTGACGAAATCAGATTTTCTGCAGTTTTTGGATCACTAATGTTTTTGCATTTATTTATTTATCTATAAAGACCTTGATCTAACAAAGCTGATTACATGAGCGATTACATGTGTGGCTGGTACTTGTTCATAATTACATGACAAAATTAATCACACAGATTTGTGACGTTATTAACCTTAAAAAGCTTTTTCCAGTATCTTGGTGAAAAACTCTCAGGATTAATACAGATGCTTGTGTACCAATGCAGCACTACCTTTGTTATCCACCTGCAGAAGCTCTTTGCTGCTGTGATGTAACATGTACTGGACCACAATAGGTTCAATTAGGAACAAAACAGTTGCTCATATGTTCCATATTTTTAAGTGTAGGGGACTTTAAGGACATTTTATTTCCAGCCTCTTGACCTTTTATGGATTTCTTACATTTTGTACCAGCCCAGAAACATTTCCATTTTAACAGAACATCAGATTGTCCAACAGCACTTTGCTCTGCGGTCAGCCTTATAGGCACAGTATGAATTCAGTTCCTATTAAACAGGCTCTCAATTTGTTTGTGCCCTTTCGTTCAAGATGCATTAAGGCAATGGAGCGACAAGTGTTTTGAGTTATATGTTAGCTGGGGCATCAGAAAGTGTGCAGCCACATCCCTGCAAATGAACGACCATGCACCTTATTTGCACCGGTCAGTGCAGAAAAAGCAAGATGACTGCAGCCATCAGTGTGAAACTGAGCCGTGAGGATGGATCCATGAGAGAGGAAAAGAGAGAGAGAGAGAGAGAGAGAGAGAGGAGAGAGAGAGATCACAGCCGTCTGTGTCAAATGCAAGAGGAATTATTGAACACAGCGCTTCTCTGAGCAGTACAGGTCTGGCCGCATTTAGTTCCGGGCACTACGGGACGCTGCTGCCCGAAATGCAATGTGACAGGCCGCAGAAAGTGGAGCCGAACGTGCCTTTTCCTGTTTCTGCCTCTTCCCTCACCCAAAGCGCAACAGTACCACTCTGAGCTGCTGGTGCGAGTTTAGCGCTCTGGTTCCGGTGTTTTCCACGACTGTTCAGAGCTTCTCCTGCAGCGTTTTTCATGTGTCAACATCGCACTTCCTGGTGAGGAGGAAACAAAACAAAGCAAAAACTGCTTATGGCTGTTGGAGACAGAGTTACTTCAAACGAGAGTCTTTAGTTATGAAACAAAGACATCTTGGCTGCATTGATATGGTAACTGTGCGCATTCTCTTTCATGGACACCCAAGTCCTTTATTGGATTTATGAAACAGAAGCTAAAGGCACACTGTGGTGTGCGTTGTTAAGGAAGGCCCTTCTGTTTATAGAGAATGAATACACACAGAATGAGGCACAGCAGTTAGTGGACCTTTTTTTACTTAGAAATATTTATTTTTGGTCAGTCTAGTTAACTAGTGACCAGTGTTGACACTTAACATGATCATAAAAATACATATTGGGCCTCATTCACTAACCATTCTTAACAACCTCTAGACGATGTCATTAGAAAACATAATATGAATTTTCATAGCTGATGACACCCAGTTATACATTTCCATTCCTTCTGATGATCAAGACTTTGTAGATACCTTGAACAGCTGTGTGTCACATATTTCTCAGTGGATGTTGCAAAATTTTCTACAATTAAATCATGAAAAAAAAATGAAATACTGATTGTTGGTACAAAAACTCTGAGAAAGCTGCTTTATGAGAAACCTGGTTGTTTAGTTTTATATACCAAACCTGAAGTATGAAACCTGGGTGTGATCTTAGACTCTCAGCTCTGTTTTATCTGCATGTAAACACAGTCACTAAAGTAGCTTTCTATCATTTGAGAAATATCATTAAAGTTCAGCCTTTTCTATCTCAGGTCGACGCAGAGAAGCTTGTTCATGCATTTGTTACAGCAGAGTTGATCACTGTAATGATCTTCTTACTGGACTTCATAGGAATAGATAGATTTTAAAGTTCTGTTACTAGCTTTTAAGGCTCTAAATGACCTTAAAGCACCGCTTACATCACAGAGTGTCTGTCTGTTTATGTTCCAGCACGTGATTTTAGATCTGCAGATACTGACCTTCTGCAAACACCTTCTGTAAAATATAGAAAACATGGAGAGGCCCTGTTTAGTTATTATGCTTATTGTACTATGGAATTTAATTCCACTTCTTCTCATCTCTTTAACTTAATATTTGATTAAAAACTCTATGTCTTTAGGTATTTATCTTTTTTATTTGATTTTAATTTCTTTTTAGTTTCTTTTAATTTCTGTGTCATTTTCTTATATGATTCTAAATTAATACTCATCATTTCTTGTATTACTGTTAAGCTTTATCACCTGTCTGTAAAGCACTTTGAGCTGCTGTGAAGTACTGTAAATGAGTACTGTATATAATATTATTATTATTCTAAGTTATTTCTTCTTAAAACCCACTTAGGGGCAAGTCACCAATCCATCGCAAAACAGACACACAGACATATACAATCACGCACAGGCTCAAAAAGAAGGTCCTGTTTGATTTTTTAGGTCTCAAATGCAAAATCAACATTATATTAATGAAGATATGATGACTGTAATCGATAATTTACTTACATCCTCTGAAGGCACACCCTTTACCAAGTTTACTGGTTTCTGTTTGAATACTCTTTCTGCATGTTCTCAATCATCAGATCCATCCGTTCGGAGAAGGACATCGAAGCTTAACCCACGTTATGAAATGTTCTTACAAATGTTCTTGCAATTACATATTTCCGCCAGAGAGGTCTCTAATTCCCCAAAACCTACGTAGTGTAGCTTTAAGTCAGTCAGAAAGGTATATGCAGCTATGAGCTGTTGCCCAGAGTTGCACTGACCAGTGCAGCAACCATATCAGGATATGTTGGCATAGACTGCACTACTGTTTAACAAAGCATATGATTCTTCTCATCATGTTTCTGTCTGTCCATGCAGGGAGGGCACACTGAAGGCAGGTGACCGGCTCCTGAGTGTGGACGGTGTACCCTTACACAGTGCTTGCCATAGTGATGCCCTTACTGTATTGGCACAGTGTGGACAGGAGGCCCTCTTCCAGATCGAATATGATGTGTCCATTATGGGTAAGCTTCACCTTTAACCACCAGTCCTGCTGGACTTACTTTTCCTGTCTGTACACAAGTATTAGCCCTTTACTATACAGTCATTTCTTAACTGCTGCTCTCAGACTTGTTTTTGAGACTCCAACCAGAGCACCGGTCATGGTTTGGACTGAATGTAAGCATGTGCATGTGTCTTTTAATCTTAGGTGAAATTTGTAAAATTGGGATGTTGCAATGTACAGGGCCATAGTTTTTGTTGTTTTGGCCCTGAACTGGACTAAACTGGACTCAAAATGAAGCAGTTGTTTATGATGTTAAACTGCAAAGTGTCAGCTTTAATTTGAGGATATGTACAATCCTGCATAAAAGTCAGAGACCACACATTTGTTTATGTAATTTCCAGAAGGAACAGCCATTAAGTACAAATTAATTGCAAAAAGGCAGAAAACATTTAACAAAAAATTCAAAGCCTCTAACACTAATTGGGAGTAAGTGCATCAAATTAATCAGTATCTCATTTTACATTTGTTTTTATTTTTCTGCACTCTGTTAACTCTTCCACTCTTCCAATCCTAAAACCATCGAGTTACATCTGTGTCCTCCCAACAAAAGCTGCTCCCAAATGTGTCACTGATATTATGTTCCCCTTCAAAGAAACACTCACCTTCACAAAAGCAACAACTCAAACTCATCTCAGCTGCCTTACACATTTCTTTCTGATCACATCTAAAATGGTTAAAGGAGATATTTCTGAGGAGATTAGATAGAAGATCATCCGCTTACATAAGGAAGTAAAAAGTCAAAGGAAAATAAGTGGAAAAACATGAGTTTGTGATCAAACATTGAGTGCATTTACATGCACTCAATAATCTGATCATAATCATATTTCTGCAGTTATCTGATTGTTTAAATGGACATGTGAACAGCACACTCTAATTTCTTAGATTGGAGTAAGGTTTAGAAATCCGATTAAGAAATCCAATAAAGAGAGCTGGATTTTAGCTCAGTAATCAGATTTCTCAGTGTATGTGAACTCTTACTCTGATTTCTTTCGGATTTCTCAGTCTGTGTATGAGCAAAAACAGGCAGCGGTACCGGAAATAAGCAAGCAGTGTTGCCACGAGACACAGCAAAACACTTTTGTAGCAACACTAAAACCAAATACATGCTTGACGAAATGAAGGATATAAATATTATTTATCTTCTATATGATGTATGTTTGTATTTTTAGATAAAGTGGCGTGGCATGAAATTTCAGTTTTGTGTCACGTTTATGTCACGTCTTCTTCTGTGAGTTTATTGGCTGGTTGCAAAGCAGAAATCTGATTACTGTCTAACTCATGTAGACCCAGTAATCAAGTGCATGTGAACACATCCATCAGATTACTGGCAAAATCTGATTTTCATGCATTTATTGGATTATTAAGTACATGTAAACACAGTCAGTGATTAAAAGTTACAGAGAAAATGTGATTCTTTACAACCACCTGAAGCTTTCTTCTTCTTCGAGAGAGGAGAAAATCAAGCTGCTTCAGATCTGAAACAATCCGAAATTGTTTTTATGCATCCAACTCATGCCCTTCAATCTTGTGACCAAGTTCTAAACATGACATTTTTGTTTAAGGCTGTTATTTTGTCCAAGCTCTTTTGGTCTCCTGAAATGAAGGAGGTGTCTATAAAATTCAGATTTCTCATATGTGTTTCACCCAATGAATTCAGATAATCTTGAATAAAAGCTGACATTGTGCCTTTTAACCTCATCATTGTTTTATTTTAACACTATACTAAAGCACACAGTCCAAACAACAAGCATTGTGTCAATGTCTAGTTATGTGCACCACTTTGTAGCTCACTGGTGAAGTTCATACGCACAAATCGTTTACAGCTGAGTTTCTGAATAATTCAGTCCATAGACCAAAATAAAACGAAAGCTTACAAGATTCAGCATGTTAGCCAGCCAGACTTTGACTACTTTGGCAGAGAGCGCAGACAGATCCTGCTTTGGCATCACAGCACACGTCTTGCCCTGATTCTGATGAACAAATTATCACATGCACTCATGTACGCAGACACACCATATGCTTCTCCGTCTGAGATGAAGTGGTTGAAGTTCCCTCTATTGTGCTGTCATATTTAAGCCTGTGTATTGTAAAAAAAAATATTTTGATACCAATACCTAGACCTTGATACGGTTTCTGGTTAGGGTTTCACAACATTCTATGCCATCATGACCTCCATCTAGTCCAGTTCAACTTATCAACCTCATGTCAAGTGCAGTTGAGTTTCATAATGTGAGAAGAAGATTGAATTTTAGAGGCAGTTTGACAGTGTCAGAAGTTAAGTGGCATCAGAGACCCCGGCTCTCCAGGGCCTGTTTCTCAAAGTCCTTCTGAGAGTGCCTATTCCATCTGACTGAACTGCTGAGCACTCATCTCAAGTCTCCTGAGGTCAAAAGGGGGTCTCTCCAACTCTTTACCCAGGGGTACACCCAGAAAAGTGAACTTCATTTAATTATGCGCTGTGACAAATGAGATCTTGGCGAGTAAAGTCATTTTATATGGATATATATAATATTTCTCATTATAAGATTGTTATAAGAAAGTTATAAGATGATTTAACTTGTGTGTTATTTTGTTAGCTGTGTTATTTGCTTATTTTAAGGCATTTCATTTGGTGAGAATATTTTTATTTATTTAGGTTGGAAAGTCAGATGTGTGTTACGTCTGACTTTTTAGCGACTGTGTAGATAAATCCCTCAGTCTGTTACAATTAACCCCACCTGTGGGGTACGTTATAACACTTGTACTCACTCACTGTAGCAGAGATGTGCAAGTTACTTGTATAAAAAATATTCTTCCCAAAAAAGTTGTAAAGTTGTATCCTCCTTTTTCTTATGCTTTATGTTGTCATTAGCCACGTTTACATGCAGCCTAATAATCCATTAATAATCCGACTAATAGCTCAATCTGAATAGAATACGTCCATGTAAACACCTCAATCAGAGTAGACTAGTCTGATTGAGGCCATTCAGAATACAATTTCTATCCAACTGAACGAGGTGAGTAACCCTGTAAATAATCAGTTAAATAGAGGAATAATAACTGTGTAAACGCCTGTATCCGATATACATTCCCAATCAGAAAGTTTAAGTACATTCTGTGCATTTTCGTTCGCATCAGAACAAAGGTTTATAACGTTCAACATGGCGGAACAGAAACTGGTCTGCAGAGGAGACGAACTTTATGCTCTGAGCTCTAAAAGATGGCGGGGGAAGGGGTGTCCAGCTTATATGTCTCAGATCATGACGTCTTCCTCTCTGCCTTCTTTAATAAGAACATGTGAAGGATGTTTTCCTGAGTCTGACTTCATTTTAAAGCAATTTAAAACACAAGCACTGCTCACTGCTGCTCATCTGACTCTGACTGGACTCAGTGATGCTGGTTGTCATGGTAACGTTTGCAGTAAGTGGTACTCTTTGGACCAGATTACTTGTAGTGTGCAGAGATTTTCATCAGATTGTAGAGTGAATATAAACACCTCAGTCTTAATCTATAATCGGAATGTATTTAATGAGATTGGCAAAAATCTTTGCACATAAACACAGCCAGTGTTATTCAGTAAATGTAAAATCAATTTGTGTCTATAATCCTGAGCACCTGTCATTTAAAAAATGTACCATCTGCTGTATTGTGCTGTTTTTTAGTGTCTCAGCTACAAAATAGTTCTGCCTCTGTATTGATTATTTTCAGATTCAGTAACAAATGCCTCTGGGCCGTTGCTTGTGGAGATAGCCAAGTCACCAGGAGCAAGTCTGGGCATCACGCTGACCTCTGGTACCCACAGGAACAAGCAGGTCATCGTTATCGACAAGATCAAGGCTGCCAGCGTGGTGGACAGGTGATGACCTCTGTTTCTGCTTCTGCAATGGTCTTTCAGAATAGCAGCAGAGCCTTTAAGTCTGTTTACAGTCTTAAAGGGGCATTCCAGCCTTTTTATCCATCATACAGCTATTGGGAATCTCTGTGGTATCAACCAGTCCTGACTGCTATCCTGTCCACTGATCTATAGTCTAATAAATACATCCAAGTTCAGCCTTTGAACAAAATCATATGGCAAATCAGCGATTCTTTCTTTATTCAGCACAAAGTTTTAAACCTTCAGCCAGAGAACAGTAGCCAGTTGAGATATCCTCATCTGACAGGTCATTTCAGTTGGTTAAGTGATCCATTCTCTCCAGCGTAGTGAGGATTTGAAGACAGTTTCCACAGTTATATAGCTGCAAAAAGGTGTTCAGCTTCGCTTCCTAGCAATGATATTAGCTATCTGCCCTTCTTCTGCATGATGGAAAAAAGAAAAATGAAGACATCTCGCTCCCAAAAATCCACCCCAAAGCAATTGTCATTTTTCAAAAGTGCCTCCCACCTTCAAGATACATCATCATAAACGAGTTTTTCTGCTCTTTAAACCTGGAAAATCTCACTACTGTAGCATGCAATAGGCATGTTTACAACAGATGTAGCAATAGTGGCACTTTTTACTGTGGCCCTTTTACATAGAAAGGCAACTATCATCCTACTACCCCTTTAACTGTCTCCCATTTTTGCCTGAAACGGCATACCCAAAGTAAAAAGAGCACTGTTCCCACATACTTTGGGCTACAGTAACAATCTTGGCTTCATTTGAAAGGTAGCACATTCAAGTTTTCCAGCTGTCAGAATAATTGTATAATTACTGACACAGAGAAAGGCCCAATCCCATTTCTTATTTTACCCCTACTCCTTGTTTTCGAGTGCCTTCTGCTCCTCTGCTATCACTGCAGACTGGCAGGGTCGCCTACAGAGCACCGCTAGTAGCCTGTTGATGAAGTCATGTTCTTTTTAATTTAAGGGTCCCATTTCGTGGGGGAAGATTTCAATGACTATTGCTTGTAACTCAGTTCGAAGGAGCAAAGTGACCCTCGAAAACAAAGGGTAGAAACGAATAAAATGAGATTGGGCCGTAGACTATGTCATCTTCAGATCAGCAAGATTAGATTTTACTTCATGTATGTACTATAGCTGTGAAAAAGAGAGCCACTTTTTACTGGACATGTTTGAAGTGAACATCACTACTGAGGTTTTCCATATCAACTTCTTATCTGATTCCTCTTCATGTGTTTTTGCAGGTCAGGAGCTTTGCATGTAGGCGATCACATCCTCTCCATCGATGGCACGAGTACAGAACACTGCTCCGTGCTGGAGGCCACTCAGCTGTTGGCCAGCACTGCAGACGTGGCCAAACTAGAGATCCTGCCTGCTCATCACACACGGCTGCCCAGCAAAGCCCAGGACACTGGTGAGTGAGCTTCTGCCAGGCTTACTGTGTGGGAATACCTGAAAAACATGGTTTGATCAGCAGTGAACATCGTAACAGTCTGACACTTCCAGTGGGTTTCAGGCTCATTGCTAGGCTTTAAATAATTTCTTAATTTAAGCATTCAAAACATGCTTCGGGAATTAAACATCTATTTGAAGTTTACCTTGTTTTTATTTATGTTAATTATGTTATTCTGATTTTTCACAAGAGGAAAGCCAAGTGTAGTGGTTATCAGTGCCTATGCATCTTATCCACACTTGCATTTTGTTCGCCAAGTGGTTTAGTTTTTAATGGAGCTTTAAACTATCCATGATTTTTGTCTATCATTAGAGAAAATGCACAGCTGGGCCAAAAACTGGCTTTTTCAGTTTGGCCCTACTGGGAATCTTTAGTAATTCAATTTAACCTCATTATGGACTGCAAAGGGTTGTTCCGCTTGTAATTTGTTCCCGCAGTGCAAACATGTTGTTGGATTTTTTTATATAGTATGTTGAAGTAGTTTGCGTTATTAGACACCAACTCTAATATTGTTGTAAAGAAATAGTTTTAATATAAAACTATTTTCTAGTTCTGCACTTATTAAGATTAAATAGAAGTTATTGATTTTGTCAGGATCAAAAAAAGCAGAAGGATATATTTAACAGAACCTTACCCAGAATCCTTAACAACCGAATATAATGTCATTTTTTTAGTATCCACCCTTTACCTTCATTACAGCTTCCGTTCTTTTCAGAAGACTCGGTTTCAGTTTTGGAAGAAATCTGCAGGAATATTTTTCCGTTCCTTCAAAGTTCAGTCTTAGAAGTTGGTTAACCTTTTTTTTTTTTTTATGTAATCCACACATTTAGTGATGTTGAGGTCTGGACTCTGGGGTGGTTTAGCTTCTTTGTTTGATGTGTCTGTCTTCTTTTCTCAGTGAGGTCTTCTTGACAGCTACACATCCTTTCAGACCCATAGTGCATCTCTCAAGGATGAAGGCTTTGTGCTGTTTATCTGATGTGGGCAGTTTTGGTGTCTACCAGGTCTTCCAGGTGGTTGTTAGGAGTCCCATTTTCTGAACTCCAGTTTTGGAAACTTCCTTAGGCAACCAGATCTTATATCTAGTCTTCTCAGAAATATCTTCTGAAAAATTCATATCTTTTCCTGAATTGGAAATTAAATAAATGATGAACTGTGTCTGACATTTGTACATTACTGTTTATTAGTTATGGACTAATATGAACTAATTCTTCGGTCATTACTGATGATCAACCTTGTTTGAGTGGTTTCTTTGATTTCTTCATTTGTTGCTCGTGAAGACAGATACATATTTGAACACGCTGTATGGTGAGTTAGCGATTTGTAGACGCAATCATTTTTTGTGATAAATGTTGTGGATGGATGATGGGTGTAAAATAGGCCACAGCACACTCTCACTAATTACCATACCATGAATTTTATATTCCAGTCTCACTGGAGAACACTGGCAGGGTCCAAATGAGGATGTTGGGAGAACGGACTCATAGAGCATGCAAATACGCACAAACTCTCAGATACACAGCTAGCCTGCTCTGTCATCTCATCTGCTGTCATCTCTTTTAATTAGCCTCTCTCTTTCTGCTTAATACTGCCTCTGGAGCTTTGGACCGCAGGCCAGATTTAATCAGGAAGACCCGCTCACCCCAGAAATCTCACAGAAAGAGCTTCAACTCCGGCTCCAGCTCGTGCAGGTTTTGTGCCCCATTTACATGCTGATACGTTTGATGAACAGATGTTTAATGGTGGCACACCAGAGCGGTTTAATGGCCTCAGTTGATTCACAGTATTAGCAGCCTACGTGGGGTCCTGCTAAAGTTTTTTGCCCTATGCCTAAATCTGTTCTTAAGTACGTTGTTAGTCACTGAAACTTCCTTTATGATTCAGCAACTTTGTAAATGTTCCCACTCTAAAATATGTCTTTAGAATATGTTTTCAGGGCAAGTTTCCCTTCGCTCTGGTGCTGCGTCGCGGCTACAAGAAAGCAAAGAACATAAAAGCCTGTGGTGCTTGCGCTTCCTTTGACTTTGATGTTCTTCATAGTCTTTCTACCCTAAGAGAAGCATCGCTATCATCCTCAACCTTAGATGCCCCACACATTCATCCCACACAGGTCCAATAATTCTCATCCCTCTCGAGAGAGCCTCCTGTGTGCTTGCCGTGCCTTGTAGCTGCTTCCATGTCTTTAATTCGCCTTTGTTAGTGTAGCTGCCTCACCAGTGGAGAATTCCCTCTACTATACCCCACACGCATCGCTAAAGGCTCTGCAAAGAAGCACATAAATGTATCTGGGGATTCATGGATAAGTGTAGCTCACAGAGGCAATGACATGTTCACCTCCAAAATCTCAGCAATGCGTCGTGTGAATCTGCAAAAAAAATTGCTGTCGACGTAACACCTGGTATCTCCAAAATGATAACTTTACAGGAGAAGGAACAACCTTTTAATGTAAGTCAATGGAACCAGACTTTTCTCCAAGTCATTTTGGGTCATTTCTTTTAATCCATTCATCATGAAATTTACATACAATGTAAAGGGTAACAGGCATTTTTCGATTATTTCAAAAACTGAAAAACAACAAAAATGCAGATACAAGGTTTTCTTCCGACAACAGCGAAATGCTGATTGGCTATCTGAGAGCACTGGGGGTCTGACGAGACCCAAACAATGTTCAACCCGAACCCAAACTGGAACTAGCGCAAACTCAGTATGGAGCAGTTCAAGTATTAGTGATAATTTGATCATTTGGAGACAAGTGGACTTATTGCATTTATAATAACTCCAGCTGGTTTCCTGGTCCGTTTAATCTGCAGCGAGAAACTGTCAAACACTAAAAAAGTTGTGACTCTGAAGTCAGAATTTCTCAGTTGAATTTTCCTGTTCCACCTTAAATGGTAGAGCAGTTACAGTCTGGCGCCTCAGGCACCATTTAACATGGAACGGGAAAAGTAGAAGCTGACCTCAGCCTCGTAAAAAGTCGAAAGTTGAGAGACATTTAACAAGAAACTATTGTACTTTTGAGGAAAATTTCCTGCCGGAGATGCGAGAAAAGCGGCTACAGCTGAGCTAAAGCTTAAAGCAGAGCCAATCTAGTCTAAGTTTGTGTTTATATTATATGTTTTAGCCTTTACTAGTTCATCAGCACATACTGAGACATATTTACAGCCAAGACGGTAAAATGAACATAAAATGTTGTGGCTCCCAAGGTGGTTACATTTTTGTTTAAAGGACAGAATGGCTCTTTTTAACATTTGGGTTTGCTGACGTCTTGAGTAGCACATCAAAGGAGTGAAACAGGCTCAAGTCAGGCCTGGGATTTGAGCCCACAGTCTTCTGGATGCTGGCTTACCTTACTTACCATTAGGCTACCAACCACCAACAGTAACTATCAAGAGTGTGTGTTATTGGGTGTTTTTGTACCACTTGACAAAACTGTACCAGGGGATGGGATACTGATAGCTTATATGAGAAAACATGTAATTACATCTTGCGGTCTTATTTCACTCTGTGCATGTGATGGATTGTGTGATTCGGACGGCTTTCTGTACAGCGCTCTGCAGTCCAGCGTTCGCTCCATGTGGAGAAAAATAAAATGATAAAATGCTTACTGTTGACTTTGACCTAACCAATCACAAGTCTACAGCATTTACCCCCCTCCTCCCACTTCTTTGGACAGAAACATAGGAGGAGATGCTCCCTGATGCATCTAGACAAGTAGCTGCTTGTTCCAGGATCTGATTCATGCTTCTAATTTCTTCACAGAGCGATATGTGGGTCAGCTCCCGCCGAGCGGGAGAAGCATGCGCATGGAGATGCGAGGTTGCAGGAACGGAAAACTGTGTTTGCGAGTGTGCACTGTGGACTCCAGGAAGACTTTAATGAAGAATTGACGCCCAGAAGCGAGGCTTGCTTTGATGTTACAGGCAAATATGACCTGAAAAAAAGTAAAAAGCGTGGTTTGAAATTGGCCCTCACCTCATGAAAGTTTGATCACATGTTCTTTGTCGCATCTCCGTCGCCGGGATGAAAAATTGCGAAGATGCGTCACGAGTAAATGTGTCATTTGCAATTGTGTGCAGCGTTTGAGGCCCCGGGAGTTGAATACAATGCATAATACATAGCATTTTTATAGAGGTATTCCTGACGATGTAAGAGTCCTCATGGAGCTGCCATATGTGCTGCTTGAAGCTCATGAAAATCTTCAAAGGGAGGCTTCTGAGTTGAGAGTCGTTGTGCATTCTTATACTACAACGTAGTCAAAGAATTAACCGTTGTACTTGCTAAAAATGCAATTTTTGGACTCCTTGTCCAGTATTTGACAGGGTTTTCCAGAAATATTAGTCAGCGATTATGACCTAAACACTCCTCACCTCTTCGTTCGGGCACACGTGTTCTCAATGTTTGACGTGTCTTTTAAAGCCAATATTGTAATCTCCTTACCGCGTTTAAGCTCCAAAGGCGCGTGCTCGTCTTCACGGTCATCATTTTGCCTCTACTCCACTCCCACGTCGAAACTGAGTTGTGTTTCCTTGAGAGACGAAGGAGATGAGCTTAGCATAAGCTGTGTGGAGCGGGGATTTACCCCTCCTGGATTTGCCCATCAAAAAATTACGAGGTGCCTCCTTGGCAAGCGCTCGTCTGTACAGATGCCGCTACTTAACCTGGTGGCTACAAATCTGTCTTGTGGTGCCATTTTTGTTTTGCTTTCCCAGCTTTTATATACCTCATGAGTGACAGGAAACACTACGTGGATGCTAATTTTTGTCTTCACCCAAAACGCAGCAGGCACACGCAGAGATTAGTGAGACTTCTTTTAACATTTTGTAGTAGGCCTATATTGGGAGTGTGCGGATCTCATTAAATGGCTTAATGTGCACACATGAGCACAAATCTCAGACTGTTTTAAAGCTTCTTATGTTTGTGCTTGTGCTGAGGTAGAGGCTAGAAAAGTTAGCAAACGCCTG